AAAAAAAAAAAAAAAAAAAAAAAAAAAGAGGATTCATCTCCCATCATCATCCATCATCACCCATCATCATGCCATAGTAAATCATCCATTAGGAAACGCCCAAGCTGTCCTTCGAGACATCCGTTAAATTGGAACAATACAGAGAAGCCTGCTTTAGCATAGCCCCTGCGCATGGATACCATACATTTCCAAATTCAAATTGGAAAAAAAAAAAAGAAAAAACTAGTAGATACAGGAAAGTTTATGACCTAAAGAGGTTTGTGTAATGTTGGCTGTTTGTTTCCTTTTTGTGATTCAAAGAAAAAAAAAAATGGAAGAGGGTTGTATAGACTTCGGTGTACCGTTTAGGAAGACAGGGCTTGTAGTTGTGGATTGTTGGCGGATCACTGGTGGTGGTCCCTGCGGAGGGTTTGGCCGGTGACGCCTTATTCTCTCAGAGGGGCTGCACAATTTTTTGTGATGGACGTCAGGCCCGGTTCCCGGCTTTTAGAAAAAAATATTTCTGGAAAAAAAAAAGTGTATGACCTACAGAACAGATCCTTTTCAAGCAGGGAAAAAAAGGAAAAAGAAAGGAAGGATATGCTTAAGCTTATTTGAAGTTATTTCAAATTGAACAACTCTCTCTCCTCACTTATGCAAGGAACATGAATGTGGACGAAGCACAGAAATCCAGATTGCAAAATCACACTGAAGTCCACGTAGTCAAAGCAAGAGCAGATAGCACAATGGAACCGAGTAACCATCCATTTGAGAACGATACAGAAGAATCGTGAGTCAATGTCCAAGCCCAATCGGGCAACACCAACAGCATAACCCAATGTAGCTCTCTCTCTTGAATGGCGCCAGGCGCCGTACCTACTCTACAGCCTATCACTACAACTACAGCATGAAAGCAACCAGACAACTTGACGACCAGCGAGTGATGACGTCAACACCAATGCCGACTTCCTCTCCACCAGGTACGTCTCTCTCTTCACCCTCACTCTCCCTTGTTATCCCACACAGCGCCCTTCACCTCCGAAGAACCACCTTCGCCCTTCACCTCCTTTGCGCCAACAGGCAGCCCGGCTATGGCCGCCAGCGCCCTGCGCCCAGGCTGCACTCTACCGCTTAGCGCTAGCCTGTCTCCCTCAGCCGCAGCGCAAGTGCAGCGCTACAATGCAGCAGCGTGCCCGCAATGCCTGCATTGGCCAAGATCCCTGCCCACTCGCCCTCCCTGCCTATATGCCAGTGTTGCGTGTGGGCGACCTCCCATGAGCCTGAGCCTGGGCCCCAGTACCTGTACCCAGGCCCAATGCGGTTGGGGCCCAGGAGATGCAGTTGCACCTCTTTCATCAAGGCCTGCGGCCAGATTCAGATAGTGGACCGGTTTCCCATTGGCATTTTCGGCCTCTACATCCAGCATGCATTGTCGGCCTCACGTTTATGTGCCCAGGGCCTAACCAATTCTGGGGCCCTGGGATTTCTGCATTTGCAGAGCTCCGATACTCGGTGCACTCCAACCAACTGGCGTGCTGCAACTGTATGGACCCCACTTCGTGAAATGTTTGCACAGAGGTCTCTTGTTGATTTGCTGGCCCGCCTTCACTTAGGGCGGGCACGAGGCTTGCTGGGGCCTTAGCCCAGAACATGTACATCATGGGAAGGCCCCTTCTTGAGGGCTCAATCCTGACATGCCATCCCCCTTAGCTTCGAAAGTCCGCTGAGATGCTTACTTTGCAGGTGCGTTCCCTTTTAACATTCTCTCATATTCAGCCACCACTTGAGGAGCTGTGTCAATCAGTTCCTCTCTGGTGAACCATCGATCTTCCTTCGGATCCGTATGATGCCTGAATCTGACGCGATACTCCCGCTTGGGTTTTGGAGGTCTTCCTCTACCCAATGGCTTTGGAACAGGCAGATCTCTGTGATCCAAATTGTCGTCGATGTCCACTTGACCATCCATGGTTGGGGGCAGCATCGATCTCCTTGAAGGGAATTGATCTGTCTCAGCGAAAGGTGCAAGCTTTGAGGCATGAAAGACAGGGTGAGTGTGTAAGTGACCAGGGATACGGATAACATAGGTAGGACCATCCATCTCATCCCCAACTATATCTAGGACTTCCCATGGGCCAAAATACTGAGGCATTAGTTTGCGAGAGATTCCGAATTCCTGTCCTAACTCACTAGCCTTGACCCAGACACGTTCCCCTACCTGAAATGAGGACTGCCGATGATGTTTGTTCTCAGAAGCAATCATTGCTTGCTGAGCTTTCTTGATGTGTTCGACAGCTTGCTGTAGCAACTTCTCTCTCATATTGCACACCATACTCAAGTGTGCCTGGAGTTGCAGAGGGTCGAGGAGGAAGTCCAGAGCTGATCTAGGCTTCCATCCCAAGTGTAGCTGATTAGGACTAACGTCGGTACTGCTGTGTACAGCGTTGTTGTACAGGTTGGCGATGAGAGGCAACTTCTCATCCCAATCATCCTGGTTGGGCTTGATGTAATGCCTCAGCAGGTGTTGTACAACTTCGTTCATCTGTTCGGCCTGTCCGTTGGCTTCGGGATGATTCCCTGAAGTCATCTGAAGTTGACTGCCCATCTGCTCAGCAGTCTTCTTCCACAACTCACTTGTGAATCGGACATCGCTGTCACTAATGATTGACTTTGGTAGTCCAAAATCACGTACCCAGTTGTCCATAAACAACTTGATGACGTGGTCAGTCCTTGTGGTCTCTAGCATGGCAATTATTCTAGCGTATTTGGTGAATCGATCAATGATGACAAAGATGTGCCTCTTGCCACTCCTACTGGTCACCAGGGTGTAGATGAAGTCCATGGAAACACTCTGTCCTGGACCAGCGAGGATAAATAAGGGCTTCAGCGACCCAAGCGGTGCTTGAGTTCGCGGCTTGTCCCGCTGACAGACCTGACAGGTCTCTACTCTTCGCGTCATCTAGCATTCCAAGCCACCAAAATCGATGTACTATTCTCCTAAGAATAAACTACACAAACGTTCACTAGATGGTACAACTAGTCTTTTAAATCCGGCCTTATCAAGAAAGAGAAGCCCGTCCACCATCACAAACTCATTTTCTGTGGCCTTGTCTTTTGCCTGAAGTTTGCGTATGATGTCCATCGTGACAAGGTCTTCCTGATAGGCTCCCACCAGCGATTGAGTTAGTTCCTCAGATACACCAAAGTCAGAAACTAGCGCGGTAGTCTGCTCTTCGTGACAGCGCATTTGCAACCTTGTTGTACTCTCCCTTCAGATACTCTAGCTTGAAGTCATGCTGATCTATGACCTCAATCCAACGCTTGAGTGCATCAGAAAAAGCCGGTTGAGTCTTGATCCATTTAAGGGTCTGATGGTCAGTTCTCAGATAGAAGAACCGTCCTAACAGAAAGTGCCTCCAATGGACAAGTGCCTTGTAGAGAGCATAGAGTTCCCTATCGTAGGTGGATTTTGCCAGTTTCTTTGATGGCATCGTTTTGCTCATGTACTCAATCGGTCTCAACTTCTTCCCATCCTATTGAGCCAGCACTGCGCCAATGCCGTATTGGCTTGCGTCAGTGGTTACAATGAATGGCTTCTGAGGATCGGGCACCATGAGAACTCCATGATTCATGAGTGCATGCTTCAATCATTTGAAAGCAGCCTCGCACTCATCACTCCAGTCCCACGGCGTGTCAAGTCGAGTTAGCTCAGTCAAAGGAGAGGCGACTGTAGAATAGTTCTTTACGAAGTTTCTATAGTAGCCGCACATTCCTAAGAAAGATCTGACCTCAGTAACAGTCTGAGGTCGTGGCCAGTCCCTGATACTAGCCACCTTCGCATCTTCTGGCCTAATACCTTCCGCGGATACTTCATGACCCAAGCATAAGATCTTAGTGCGTCCGAACTCGCATTTCTCTAGGTTGACCTTATACTTGTGTTGTCGCAAGAGTGAAAATACAGTCTCAACGTGCTATGCATGCTCTTCGACAGACTTACTAAAGATAAGAATATCGTCAAGGTAGAGTACGACAAACTTATCTAAGTGGTCATGGAAGATCCTATTCATGGCGTGCTGGAATGCACCCGGCGCATTGCAAAGGCCAAAGGGCATCACTACAAACTCATACAGACCGTATCTGGTCTGAAAAGCAGTCTTGTGCTGATCCTCAAGTCTTATTGCAATCTGATGGTAGCCGGATTTTAAGTCTATCTTGCTATAGTACTTACATCCCTGCACCCTATCCAATAGGTCGTCTATGCGAGGTAGAGGCTCTGCGTTCTTTACTGTGATGGCATTGAGGCCTCTATAATCAATGCACATCCTTAATGTACCCCCCTTCTTCGGTACAAATAGTACTGGAGATCCGTAGGGGGAAGTACTCGGCCGGATCCATCCCTTCTCTGTCAGCTCTTTCAGTTGTTGCCGAAGTTCATCCAACTCGGCCGGCATGTCCCTTGAGAGTGTGTCAAAAGCTTTCTCATGGGCCACCTAACCACACCATCTACTCCATTCTTTCTGATGGTGAGTATCTACATCTGAATGGTTTTCTTTCAAAAATTTG